AATTTAATAATTCAAAACATTCGCAGGCCACATTTTATGTTTTTATTTGTCTTCCAATATGCTAAATTCACCAAATAAATGTTTTCTTTGTAGAGGATGTGTTCACTTTTTTTTAGAAAATTAACAAAACGTCATTTGACCAGGGGTGACAAAAATTTTGCACACAGCACAACAGCCGGGCTTGATGTTTTCTGTGAAAAACTTTTGGGCCTCGTTGGGCTCGGATCGGGTAGCAGACCTCTACGCTACACAGAAAAACAGCATAGTTATTTTTTATTGGTTTATTTGTATTTACTCTGGTCTTTTAAATAAATAAATTCTTAATGCCCAGATGAATGACTTTATACATAATTCTCCCAGATGCATAAGACCTGTACTGCAGTACTGTAGCTACTTGAACTTATCTACAACAAAAAGACACATGTGGATCGAGTGTCTCACTTTCATATCTTACATATTAGTTTCATAGCAGTTACCAAATCATTTACAGTACTCAATAATAAGCCATAAATCAGTAGGATAACAAACGAATGCAGTACCTCTGCAATGAAGAGCATTGAAGCCCACCATGATGATGACGACCAGCAGAAACATCAGGAACCTCATCTTCTCTCAATACATCAACCTTCCTCAAATTCCTCTGTGGCTTTGGGGCTGAAGCAGCGCAGGTTGATCTGAAGCAGCTCTGCATTTATACGCAGGAGCTCATAGTGTCTGCTTTCACGCCGTGCCTGAGCTTGCCGTGATAGAATCACAGTCAGAGCTGACATGGCAGCAGGTCACCATCTTTCACTTACACGGAACTGCCAAGTTCTCCGTTTAAGGCTGTCATGCAGGTTGGACATGAAAATGTCCATAGTTTTTAGCCTTTATCACAACCAAGGATCTCACTGGAAACCTAAAACTGTTGTAATGGAATGTGCACCACAACCCTGTTTGGTCTTGCACCATTGTAAACTGAGTGTCAGTGGAAAAGCTCCAGTGTCATTGCATGTGTGTTGCCTCTTCTTGCGTCCATTCGAACAGAACCTGATATCTCTATTGGAACACAAATAATGGTATTTTTACAGGAAGGACTGTTCACACTTTTAACATCCCATTGAACATCTGTAGACATGAACATTCTTTAATAGCTGAATGAAATCAGGGATGGCGGACCACCTCAGAGAGGCTGCATTTGTTAAGGAACAGCTTAAAACTCCCCACACTCAGAATAATAGGCCATTGAAGCCTGCCAAGTAAGAGTTAAAACATTATGTAGTGTTAAACAGACTTGATTATGTGGTTTCTGACACTATATTACATGCCGTTATATATAAACACAGACAAAAGGATATAGAATAGCTGCAGTACTGGCAGCCATCTTGAAGCCTGAATTTTAGCCTTAGTTAGCTACATTAGCCTTGTATCTCAAGTGCAAAGCTAAAGAAGCTAACTTCCTGCACCTAACGTGTAACGTCTTGGCTGGTCAACTACATTTTGGGTCAGGGAGAAATTGTGTAAATAAGATTTGGCCAAATCACTGCCTTGAGCTGAATTACGAACACTGCTGGAAAACCCAGCATAGGCTACCATGTGTTTTGGATGCTAGTATGCTGGTCAGCTGCAATGGAAGTTAATATGCTGGTCACTAGCAAAACCAGCATATGTTGTGTTTTGGATGCTGGTATGTTGGTCAACCATCATGACCCAGGCTGGGTGACCAGCTAAACCAGCACTAGAGCAGCTTAAGCCAACATAAACCAGCTTAGCTGTTGTTTTCAGCAGGGAACATTCCAGTTACACAGTTCATTACAGTAACTACAGTATGTTGCTGTAGCAGCCATCTTAAAGGTTGGCATGTGCATTCTGACCAATTCTGAGTGTCTGAAAGTGTTAATGAACAGGGATCTGGTTAACTGTGAGCAGTCAAAAAACATTATTTTGGCCAAAGGAAACATATTTCTGGAGGATTACTCATGTAGGTGGTATTAAGAAGCGAAGCGGAAGAATACATTTGAAAATGCTGCTAAAAAAAACCCCACAAAACCAAAAAATCCCACACAGACAAGCATCATTCTGATGCTTTCAGAAGAATCAGTTCTTCCATTGTTTTCACAGAAGCGCTGTGGTCTCACAGCATAAAGGGGCCTGGGTTCGATTCCCTGGCCGGGCAATCAGGGTCTTTTCTGTGTAGAGTTTGCATGTTCTCCTTGTGTCTGCATGGGTTTCCTTCCACAGTCCAAAGACAAGCAGTCAGGTCAACTGGACATACTAAAGTAGCCCTAGGACTGAGTGTGTGTCTGGCATGGCGACCTGTCCAGGGTGTTTCCTGCTTTCTGCCCAATGAGCGCTGGGATAGTCTTTAGCATGTGTGTAATCACAAAGTTGCGTAACTAACAGGAACATAAAATGGTCTAATTATAGGCCTAAAAACATGCCTGAAACCAGATAACACGTCATCTACAACTGACGGCAAGTGCTAGCCAGGCTGTTCTTCACAAAATGTCTTTTTTTGACCCTGCAGAAAAAAACGGCACGGTCCACCATACCTTCCATGCCAGGTCTAGAGCTGGTCTGGTGCTTGTTAAGCTGGTCAACCAGCATCCAAAGCACAACATATCGTTGCTGTCGGAAGAAAACCTTGTATCTTCAAAATGGTAACTTTACAGGAGAACGAAATAACATACCTTACTTTTAATGTAAGTCAGTGGAACCAGACTTTTTTCCAAGTCATTTTGGGCTGTTTCTTTTGGTCCATTGAGTGACCAAGAGTGATATGCTAGATTTGCTGGTGCCCATCTATGCTAGTCTATGCTGGTTTTTCTAGCAGCGAACCTAATAAAACTGTTGACCAATAACTGCTTCAAATTCATATCTAGAAAAAACATGGGCCCTGTAATGAGGGCCCCAGTGGAGAACACCACCTCGCTAGTGGCCCCCAGGTCATTTGAGCTTCATCATTTCACAAAGTAAGGCCCAGGACTATGCTCTCCACTCAAAGCCAACATTTCCTGCTCACTGCGGTTTAACGTTTGCTTTCAGATGGATGCTAAGACAAAGTTATGAGGTTGTTACAAAATGTGGTTGAAGTAGATTAATGCCTCATGTCTTCAGCTGTAACTAAATACAGAACTAAGTGCATACACAGGTCATTCTGCTTGTTGTTTTGACGTCTACAGATGTACAGATAGGCTAGTGTTTCAGCACCATTATTCTCCAGGGAAGCTGTTCAGGCACATCGGTTTTCCTCTATTTGAGCGTATAGAATTCCCTAATTACCTCTTCTTGAACTAGTCCTGTCCTATCATGTCTTCGCCTGGCAGGAACGCAAACTTGGGGTCACTTCATTACTGTCCACCTGCGTTTTGGGTGGAAAATTCCACTGTTAGCCTGAATAACTAGTCAGGCGGTAATTATGTTCTGATGCCAGACACAATGTAACTGTTCAGTAGTGTTTGTATAAGCCTACGTTATAAGTACAAGTTATTAATTATTTGGGAAATATTTATGATTTCGGATATAAGATAATCCACTTGCATAAGGAAGGTAAGAGTCAAAGGAAAAAAAGAAAAAAAAAAACCAAAACAGGAGTGTCCAAACTGGAGTCCGAAACATGATGAAAAGTGTCTCCTAACAACCACCTGGAAGACCTGGTAGACACCAAAACTGTCCCCATCAGATGAACAGCACTTAAAGCTTTCATCAAGTCAAACAAAAAAGCTGCTGGTGTTCTCAGATGCAAAACCAACTTCTAAGACTGAACGTTGGAGGTAGAAAAGTACTATTGGTGGAATAGTGGAAAAATATCCCTGCACATTTTTAGAACAACTGAAAGCGAGTCTCTAAAAAAGAATGGAAGCTGTAATAAAGATAAAGAGTGGACACACTAAATATGGTAAAATGTGACATTTAGTTGTTGAGTGTAAAAGTGTGAAGGAATCTATCGTGTAATATGTTTAGTGCTGTGTTAATTATTACTATATGCAGTAATGTGAATGCATGTGCTGTGATTGTTTTTAGACGGTAACGATTTAGACGATTGTTTATGCCTACATGGTCATGTCTGTCACACCGGTCACTTGTCATGTATAGGCTGGGCCTAATCTTGACATCCGTCCAGCTATAAAACTGTGTCAGTCCAATGTTTTATGGGCTGTATAGGTGTCTGGGACCTGTGCCCAAGAAATAAACTTAAGTTCTCCAGACATACAGCTAGCTCCCTGGTTTGTGACCGGGTTTCTTCAGATGGATCACAGAAATGCAGGGTGATTCAAAAAGATTAATCCGATTTCAAAGCATCACATTTTTACAACAGTGAGGCGCCTAGGAACCAATCACAATCCAATTGAAAGAGGGGGTCATAGAGTTTCTGACTGTCACTGGAAGATGGCTCCCTTCAGTCTGAGAGGAGATGAGACCCCTGAGCAGAACGCGTTCTGCGTTCTCCACTTCAATAAGAGTGAATCCGTCACAACTGTGCAGTGTACCTGAAACAGCTCAGAGCGTTCGTCGTTGGTTCCACAAAACTGGACGATCCCTGAAATCGCACTGAAAGAGCCGTGAGGGCAGCGACACCCGACATGCTCAATCCAGTATGGGATGAATTTGAATATGGCGTTGATGTTGTCTGTACAGCTGGAGGAGGTTCGTACTAAAATTACATAATAAACTTTATGCTCATTTAAACCATTTACAGTTTACTGCATTGATCTGTAATGATTTACAAGCGAAATAAATCATTTTGAAATTGGATGAATCTTTTCGAATCACCCTGTATTATCATACAGGAGAAGGAAAAAACAACTTTTTATGGAAACTCATGAAATTGTGACACTGCAGGTCTATGTCAAAAAATAGACAACAAACAACAACAAATGTGGGGACAACAGTTGTTGTCAGCGCTTATGAAATTAATGAGTGAGATGAGTTTGGTTTTCCACATTTAGAAATGTGCTTTTTGAATGTCCCACAAGAGACAAATTCACAAAAATACACTCATCCATAAAAAAGACACCCCATGGGTTGCTTACATAACTTTAATCGAGCATTTTAATAGAACATATTTGAATATTGTAGTTGTAGGTTACATCTTTAACCCTCAGTATTACATCCCAAATTCACCATAACTGCAAGCAATATCCAGGCCTATAACTGGAAGGCTATCCATCTCTGGAATTCTTGACAGTTTGGTCACATGCAAAAAAAGACTTTAATAGTGACTCTCAAAGTAACAGTATTAGCACAAACTGTAGACCATCCTTTCCCAACTCCAGTCTTACAGGCCCACAACTGTTTTCCAAGCTCAATCTGATTTGGCTTGATCGATTTACAGTTAAGATGTGACTCAGGTGCTGGGAAAACATCTACAGGTAGGGCGTCCAAGACTGGAGTTGGGAAATACTGCCGTAGAACTCTACAAAGAAGCAGCAGAGCTGCACAACCTAGTTTTTTAACTGTTATTGCAATATTGGCCTTCACAACAATGATCTCCTAGAAGGCTGTACTAGGCAAAACCAATCAGGCAGTGTTTTATTGTGTGCTGACCAATCGTGGATGTTCCTTGGGTGTTGTGAACAATCATATGATCCAACAGCAGTAAATTAGTTCTGGTCACACTCATGCAGGCCGTTCTTTAACCATGTCACCAATGCATTTTTAATATATTGCAAGCTATATCACCTAGACTGGAGTTGTTGACAGGTCCCCAAATTGCACTGAAATGCATATACAGCTATGTAGAGCTTTCGACAGACACAGAACTAACTAATGCTTTCCTTACTTATGCATGTATAATACATAAACAGATATATTACAAAAAAAAACAATAAAAAAAAAAACACATTTATATCAATTCACATATCTGCCACTACAAGTGGCCCTGAAACATCCCCCAGGCCAGCTTCTCTTAGTCTCTGTTATACATGCATATGCTCTTTGCAAAAGTTTGAACACCTGTTAACTCACATTTTGTTGATTTTCTGAGTGAAAATAGGTCAATACATCCTTTACAGGCAACAGCCTCTGCAAATGTTAGTGCACCATTTCTATTTATTGCTAACACACTGTAAAAAAAAAAGGAAATTTAAAATATAAAAGTGTGCCATAACTTTTGCACAGGCCAGACTATATGTTTTAAATATGTTAAACTCAGCAAATAAACAGTAATTATGCACTAAAATGTACAGAATGTATTCACTCATTCTCACTTTAACAAAACGTCATTTGATCAGGGGTGCACAAACTTTCACATAAACCCCAACCCTAGGGTGACGAGAGTAGCTCAGAGTGAAGGGTGTAATTATTCATCTTTGGATGTACACTCAGCTAAACCACAGCCCATCTGCTGCTGGAATTTGGCCAGAATCCATTCGTTTCATATTTACGTTATTTTCCACATACATCATTTAACATGAGAAAGACAAGACAGATGTACCACACGGCACAGTGACAGGTTTGGTCATGGCAGTTTAAACCATCAATCTATGAAATGTAAAGATTACTTAGGCTGTGATGTACAGTATTGCGCAAAAGTCAATGACCATAAAGTACAGGCTATTCAGGAAAAAAGCAGGAAAACTGCATTCAACCAAATATTAAAATTAAATAAATGTATATTTTTAGTATTTATTGTAAACACTCTTTTCAAGGTTTTCAAAGAAATCTTTAGAGACATTTTCCCACACATCCAAAGTTTAGTCTGTATAGAGCCCCGCTGGTGACATCCAGTATAGATTAAAATAATGTGTGGTCACAACTTAGTAAGGCATGGGAACAAGAAAATTAAGTCTTGACCACAGCTTAATAAGGCATGATCTCGCTCCCACGACTTTCTAAGTTGTGGCCAAGCATTAGGATCTTGTTCCCACGTGTTAACAGTGCATGGCTACACATTATTTGTATTTATACCAGATGTCACCAGCAGAGCTCCATATGTCTGAGAGGCTGGTTGCATTTTCTGTTTCTCACAATACAAATGTGCCATGCGCTTGTTTCCCACGCCCCCGAAGATGGCCGCGAAAACCGGCAGGAAGGTGGGACCCGAATCCCAAGGGAGGACGAAACGGCGGGGAGAGAAAGAGAACTGCCAGGGAGTGGTGGACAGGCGCACAGCACAACAAGTAAACCCAAACTAAGGCTGAATGATTTTGGTAAAATATCTAATTGCAGCACATGAATGTTTGTTCGCTTCTGATTAGTCAAATTCATCTAAAAGCAGTTCGCAAGCTCCATGTTATTAGGTTGAACGTCCTTTATTTAAAACTTGCAATGTATCAACATTGTTGATAATAGACTACAATTAGACAATAATACAATTCTCGCAGCTCTTGCGATTCGAAAATTGCACTTTTTCAAATTGCAATTTCGATATAAAACCATTGCAAATGTTTTTTTTTCTCAGTGAGGTTCTTCTTGAACAGCTACACATCCTTTCAGACCCACAGCGCTGAGTCGTCTTCTCACAGTGGAAGGATGGACAGAAACACCTGTGGATGTTTTCAGATCTGAAGCAGCTTGATTTTCTCCTCTCTCTCAGAGATGAAAGCTTTAAGTGCTGTTTATCTGATGGGGCAGTTTTGGTGTCTACCTGGTGTTTCAGGTGGTTGTTAGGATCACATTTTTTTTTTCCCCACTTATTTTACTTTGACTTTCTCCTTTCTTATACTCTGGATCATCTTATATCTAATCGTCTCAGAAATATCTCCTAAAAAATGAACAGCTTGTACTTCATGTCCGTTTTCCCTAAAACATGAATAAATGAAAGATGGCCTCTGACTTTTGCACGGTACTGTATGTATTGTTTAAAGTACATTAATGAATAATTAGAATACTATGCAATGGTCCCTCTTAAAATAGTGAGTGGATTTGTATATGTTCAATAGTACTTTATACCAATAGCATGTGTTGGACAGTATTAGACAATATTTAGAGCACCTATGTTGGTCTGTGAGTATGCTTTTGTATTGCTGCGTAGGACATGAGCCTCTAATAGAGACTGAGGCAGACTCCCTGGTAGTTGGGGAGCTAGAGTGATTTCATTTGCATGTACTTGTGCATATTCAAGGTGCATGTGCCTCTAGTAGAGCTTTAACACGTGCGTGTAGAGGTTGACACACTCTCTGGTAAGCCTGCGGTGTGAGGTGGAGATAGTCGTACAGGTCCTGGTGGGAGATGGAACCGTCTGACTGGACGAACCCAGGATCCACATCCAGGAAGGAGGCGAAAGAGAGAGATGCTAACTCCACCTGCACCAGAGCGTTCACTCTAGCGTTACGATCACGCAGCGGGTTGGGGCTCTTACCTCGGGGCAGAAGACCCTAAAGGATGAGAAAAGGAAGAAATCCATTTCATTTTAACTTTGTATATCAAAGACAATGGTTTGTACAGTACTGTGCCAAATATCTGTGTTCTTGCTTGTAAAAACATGAAGCATTAAAAATACATGCAAACGTTAATGCACTAAAAAGTAACAAGAATTTCTTGTTTTCATCTCAGTTAGGTTAGAAAAACAGGTTTGATTCTAGATCTCTTTGCTGCACTTTAGCAGCACAGGTGATGTCATAAAAAGACATTCAGACTACAGCAGTGGTCTATATAACTCAGCAATTAATTGAGAAAAGCATGTGTAGTCTGAAATAAAAAAATGAAATTAATTCTGTATTATCTTTTCTTTTCAAGTTGTGGACTAAATGTGTGCTGTTGAACTGCAGGGAATGTGAGGACACAATAAGCTCATGCTAGGCTAAATGGACATGTCTTGGCAGAGCTGTTTACAGTTGTATACACACATTTGGGCGCCCCGGTCAAATTACATGTTTTGTTGATTGTGTAAGTGAGAATACGGTGGTTTTTGTAACAAAGAAAATGCTTCAGCACATTTTAATGCACAATTGTTTTTAGTTTTGGAGTTTAACATATTTGTCTACACACCCCATCACAAAAAAAAGTCAGGTTTTTTGTCAACCAGATCAAACATGAAATACCTTTTAACATTTTAGGGTAAAATTATCTTACAATAACCTGGTTATATAAGTGTGACCATGCTTTTATAATTTGGGGTGTGGCTGTGTTCAGAATCAACCAATCACATTCAAACCCTTGTTAAATAGTAGCTAGTATGCTACCTGCTATCAGACTCTGTTCCTGTAGGTTTTTCCTGCCACCTCACACTTACAAATCATGAACGTGACCTCACTGTTGCAGGGTTATCAATAAGGCTTCCTTACAGAGAACACACTCCTGCATGATATGTGGTGCTTTTGGACAGAAATATTATTAAATTCCCTGTTACTAACATGGACACATCTGTCCAGGCTGTAAACAGGTCCTCAGGGCGAAGTAGGGGAGAACAGAAATGAGTACCGAGAATGAACTGACCAGAACAAGAATGTGAGCTTGAGGCAGGCGCTGGTTGATCACATTAATGATGGCCATGATGCCTCCACAGATCTGCTCAGGTGTGTGGCCATGATTGTTCGTCCCGACCCACAACACTACCACCTGTATGTAGAGAGGGAAAAAATATTTTCAACCAATAATGCTTTGCTTTGAGAACAGTGACAGTGTTTATCTCTAGCGCATTAAACGGCCAATATCATGGAAAACTATTTTTTTTTCTAAAATTTCTTTCTAAAAAAGTTTAATGCAGTAGGTAAACACTGTTAGTTTAAAAATGGGCTGTTCACTCGTTGTTTTTGTTGAAGGCAGAAGAACCAAAACATTCATATGCCTATTCAGCCTGCAGCAGTTTAGCCCCTCCCACTCACACTGAAGTTATAAGGAGTGTTTCAGCTCAGACAGCTTTTCACAAGGCACAATACAGGATAGCCACTTAGACTTAGGCCCAATCCCATTTCACCCCTCCACCAGTATTAACTGATGTCTCAGTAGTTATCAAGCTAAATTTCCCGTTCCACCTTAAATGGTGCAGGAGTTACATTCTGGCACCTCGAGGCGTCAGAACTGCAGCTCCATTTAAGGTGGAACGGAAAAACGTGACTAAGAAGCTGGCGAATATCTGACTTCAGTTTCATATCACTGGAGAATTAGGGGTGGACGAAGATAAATAATTGCCCCCCTCTTTGAAGCCATATGATTCCCTAAATGTAACTAAAGCCCAGCAGTGAGGAGCTGAACTTTACCCTCCTCTGCTGTCACTGCAGACTGGCAGGGTCGCCTACAGAGCAGCGCTAGTAGTTGTTAATGAAGTAATGCTCTTTATTTGAGGGTTGTTCCATTTCGTAGGGCAAGATTTCAACCAGTAACTCAGTTCCAAGAGGCAGGGGGACAATCAAAAACAAGGGGTAAAAATAACAAATGGCATTGGACCATAGGATCATTCTTAAAGGCATAATAACAGAGTTGGTTTAATTCTAAAGGACTGTCTAAGACAGTGGTCACCAACTCTCGTCCTGGATATCTACTTTCCTTTGGAGTTTAGTTCCAGCTTGCACTTAACACGCGTCCCCTCCCCTTACCTAACGCCAGTGTGTCTGGTCCAGCCAATCAAGGACTTGAAGTCCTTTAGAAGTGAATTAACTGTTGCAGTCAGATCTAGATTCTACAGGAAGGTAGATCTCTAGGAACACAGCTGGTGACCACTGGTCTAAAAGATGTTGGAAAATGGTCAGAAAATGATGCCTGTTTGTACCTTTGGGCAGATGTGATCCACTTCTCCATTAGTAAGTCTCCACAGGACATGCTGAGTCGCATCACCACCAATCCCAAAATTCAGGGTGTGGAGTGGAGAGAACAGCTTTCTCCACACCTGCCAAAATACATATTTATGCAAATAAATAAAAAAAAAACGAAAAAGATCAACAGCAGTTTAGGGATTGGGTGGTTATCTGTTTTAAGGATAATATGCTTTATAAACACCAATGACAATTATACCACTTCGAATTTGCAATCAGCCTCTTTTTAGAAAGTCACAGTGGGACTAAATGTCCTTCTGCTGCAGTCGCCCTGCAGGTCACACGCCAGGACAACACATGTTTACAGTTATAATCTGAATACAACCTGAACAGCAGTATTTCAATTACTGCTTTTTGTGCTATAAAGAGCAACAGAAGAGGTTCAATAAAAGATTATTAGTATAATCGCTGTGAAGAGATGATTTTAGTATGTCAATATCATGATAAAAATACTTGGTCAATAATAGTATGATGAATAATTTGAGGAATGACCAGATACAGTGGATATAAAACATCTACCCCTGTAAAAATGGATGGAAGCACATTAGTGTCAAAATGAAACTGTAATATGTAAAATGCCAATGTATTAGCATGTTTCCATTTAAATTCCCCACTCATATGCAATATTGAGCTCAAAATGAAAATTCAAAAACAATACTGTGATTTTAATTTGCCATTTGTTATACTAGTATTGACATTTCATTCACATAAAGATTTAGATGCTTTATGGGTAGCTTTATTTAAATTGAAATGTATTTCTAGATTGCATTTTCATTTTCATGAACTTCCCAACCTGTCAAGTAAAATCGCAATACTGAATTTTCATTTTGAGCTCAACACTGCATATATGAGTAGGAAACTGAAATGCAAACATACAAATATATTTTACATAAACATTTTCATTATAACTTTGATATTGATATTTAGGGCTGAACAATTTGGGGGGAATGTCTAATTGCGATTTTCCTGACCAATATTGTGCCAGCGATTTAAATCGCGATTACTTTCTATGAAGTAAGGTCCAGACCTGTTATTTTGGACAAGCACACCAGAATATCCACTTTTTCTGGCTTGAGGCTTGAATGATGCCAGTTACTGCCAATTAGTTGTGGTTCTGTGGGGTGTTTGATTGCTTTTGACTGGTCTAACACATCTATAGTCAATTCCCAAGCTTTATGTTATGTTAAGATTAACTTAATGTTATGTTCAATTTTCCCCGCTTAAAACTTATGACAACATTGTTAATGATAAGGGCTGTAATTAAATTGGCAGCTCTCAATTTTGAACAGAAAAAATATATCAAAATATATTAATATATAAAAATGATACATTTTTTTCACCCCTACTGACATGCTTCCATAAAAATGGTAGGTTTTTGTGATGTAAAACAAAACAAAACAAAAAAAAAAACCAAATAAATCATGACTGAACTTTTCCAGTTTTAATGTGAAATTGCAACCTATAAGTCAAACATTTTGGAGCAAAAAACTTACAATAACCTGGCTGCATAAGTGTGCACACCCTTATATAACTGGGGATGTGGTGGTGTTCAGAATCAACCAATCACATTCAAACTGTTAAACAGTTAAATAGTAGCTAGTCCACACTTGCCATCAATTCAGCTGTTTCTTTAGGATTTGTCTGACACTTTCACTCTACTACAAAAGCCATGGTCCACGCTGAGCTTACAAATCAGTAACAGGACCTCACTGTTAAACGGTATTGATCAGAAGAGAGGTACAAAACAAATTCCAAGGAATTAGATACACCACGGAACACAGTGAAGATAATCATCAACAAGAAGAGAAAATATGGCACAACAGAGACATTTCCATAAACAGGACGTCCCCCCAGAATTGACGAGAAGACGAGGAAAAACTGGTCACGGAGGCTGCAAAGAGGCCTACGGCAGCCTTAAAGGAACTGCGGGAATTTCTGGTAAGTACTGGTTGCTCAGTGCATGTGACAACAATCGCCTGTATTCTTCATATCTGGGCTGTGGGGCAGGGCGGCAAGACAGAAGCCTTTTCTCAGGAAAAGAGAAAACAAAAAACAAAACATCCAAGCCTGGCTAAATTTGGCACACCCAGTCTGCCAAAACCATGTGAAAAATAGGTTACTGTCAGATGAGACCAATGCTAAACTTTCTGGTCATAATTCCAAAAGGTTTTCACACACTAAAATAACACCATACCAGCAGTGAAGCATGGCGGTGGCTGTAGAAATAATGACATGGATGCCGCATTGTTTGCTGCTTTCAATCTGAGGCAATACGTCTGCACGTCTGCCACGTTGGAGCGGCCAAGATCCGCTTTAAAACACACGTACTGAGACATGAGTTCTCATGATTAAATTGACTGCAACTTCCTTATTACTCAACCGACTTTCGCCATTTTTTTGTTAGAATCAACAGATCGACATTTCTGCATGCATGCTTATTTAATGTTTATTTTACGTCCAATTTACTTACTGATGCATTTGTAAAACACGGTTACTGACAGTTGGCTATTAAAATATTTGGCAAAATTAAAATAAAGAAGCTGATAACAGCCAATCTGAGTGAGTAATATTATATTTATGTAAATGCTTACTGGCAGTGATGGGATGCATCTGAGCAAAGAGACGGCAGATCAGATAAGTCAACATGTTTACAATCTAGATGAAAAAAAACATTACCATGTTCTTGAACAGTAATGTTAAACTAACTGTCATAAAAGTCTGGTATTAATGCAAATACATACCAGATGTAAAGTGTAAGGTCTATGTATAATAGCAGACTTTAATCTGAGTCCGTAGAAATGACCACGAAGTGCCAAGCAGCTTTCTTCAATTTGACTATGCTTATACAAACATTCTAGGAAAAACAGTTACGCCAATGAGTTCTGTGCTTCACCAACCACAAAGCCATATCTACACATAAACATCTCACAATCAGCGTTTCGCTCCCCTCTTTATACAATCCTATCCAACCTCCTGAGTTCTGTGCTTTTTAAACAGTATAATTTTGGATGTTCACCTTTCTTAAACTTCCACTTTGTAACTGCACTGAATGCAGTCTAGTAGTAATGTATGCATATACATGGTGGTGGTAGCATCATGCTTCGGGCCTGCTTTTCCTCAGCCACAACTGGGGCTGTAATCAAAGTGGAAAGAATCATGAATAGCTCCAAATACCAGTCAAATCTGGCACAAAATGATTAGCTGTTCACAAGAAAGCTGAAGAGGAATTTCATCCTTTAGCCCAACAACAACCCAAACCATACATCCAAATCAACAACTGAAGGGCTTCACCAAAAGAGCGATCAACGTTTCGGAATGACTCAGCCAGAGCGCACTTATGCAAGCAAGTTATTTATTTATTCATTCATTATTATTATTATTTTTTTTTTTACCCTAAAATGTTTCTGATTGTTTTGAATTTTTACATTAAAGGTGGAAAAAGTGTAGATTTTTTAAATCCACTGTAGACATCAGCCTTGATCCAAACCTCATCTATAGATATCCATAGATACACACTATGTTATGTTGCATACAATAACAACTCATAAAACAGACTCCGTTCCTAATTGTGTGTATTAGAGCTCATGATAATGACAGCTTTAATCGCCCAGTGTAGTCCCAAAGCTATTGCTACTGTTCTAGAGTGCTAGCTAGCATGACAGCTGGTTTGTGAGCCATCCGTCCATAACAGATTGAAACTTTTTAAGATAGTTTTAAGGTAATGAAAGCAGAAAGGAAGAATAAAGTAAGTAAAAAACTAAAGCAGGGGTGCAGATTTTACTAAAGGGCAGATTTTACAATGTGTCAAACGTGGGAGACGAACCGTGAGAACCCGAACATGTAACCTGAATCAGCTCAGAGCCCTAAAAATATTTGGAAAATGTCATCCGTGGCCGATGTGTGCAGTCGGGTCTTGTCAGATTCAGACAAACATTTCAGGCTTTAACCGAATGTGAATGTTGCTTACCTCAAACTCGTGTAGCAGTTGGACAAGAGAGTCTCCGACAAAAAGAACCTCTGGTTCCTTCCCTTTGCTGTCAGAGACAAAGCGATTATGCTGTAGAGAGACAACAAAGGCATTATTATAAATAATCCATCATCATAAAAGACATCATGCAGATATGACAGCAAAGCAAAAAGCACCTAGTGTGACATAAACTAGACATGTATGTGTATCGGCAATGTAGTCCAGGCGAACTTACCATTGACATCCATCGTCCATCACCCTGTACATCCTCACAGGGAGTGGGTGTGGCCGCAGGGTTGCCGTCTCCACAACTCATCACTGTCACTCTGATGAAAGAAACACATTACAAAGGGTTCCGCTGTATGAATTTAGTGGTGTTATACTGTTTGCTAGGGGCAACTGCACAGCATTTTAGCCCAGCTGTGTGAACTGTAACAACATTGTTCTCCATTAAGAAGGTTTCACTATAGAGGAGAACATCCCCAAAGGAGGAATCAGTCGAGAGAAACAAAGCCTCTCAATGCTGTAATAACGAAAGATTTCAAACTCCTTTCACCTAAAATCCTTTAAAGAAAACAGGAAAAAAAGAATCAGTTTTACATTGACAGACTGTGGAAATTTGAGATGTAGAGGAGACCTATATAAGAAAATGATGAGATCTCACTCTTATCTTATATAAAGATTGAGTAATGCTGGGATGAGTCAGACACAATAGAGTTAAGTCATACTAATATAATTTAAGGTTTAAGCTGTCAGCAAATTTGAAATTCAGGGCAAATAGACCAAATAATACTCCTGCACTAGACCATTGCTTGGTTACAGGCTGAGAACAACCCAATTTCCCCAATTTCTCCAAGTCTGGACCCTTTAAAGCCAGCAGCCTTTATTATGTAGTTACAGAATATAACTCATTTTCATTTATATAATAACAACTGCAGCTCCACTTCTCATTGTCCATCTTCCTGCAACATTAAAGGGGAACTCCACCAAAACTTCTGCACAATTAAATGGTTGGGATGTAAACAAAGTCATTCAGAGTGGTTTGGTGTAAAACGCTCTGTTCTAGAAAAACTCAGTGTCAGAATTGTTCACAGTGGTGGTGACAGGGACCAGATATCCACCTCTAAAAGCTCCCTCACGAAAAATTAGTACATTAAATCAGCCTGATGTCCGACAAATTGTTTTATGATAGTTTAGCGATAAAGCTTTGGCTTAAAATATATTTGAATCCAATTATTTTAATCCATTCATGCATGAAGGATACATGCAAGGCGTTGTAAGCTAACATAGTCCCCAAGTAAAAACTCACATTTCTCACTAATCTACCATCATAAACATTACATATAAAAGCTCAGAAAAGGTGTAGGTTGGTGGTGGTTTTGGATGGTAAATAAAATGGCTATATTTGTGCTGTAGACATGGCAACTCCTGGTTCCGATCACTATTACTGTAAAGAAATCTGAGTCTCTACAATCAAGTATTTCACACCAAACTGCTCTGAATGACTGTTTACATCTCAAGTATTGAATTATTCAGAAAATTTCCAAAAATTGGTGGGATTCTCCTTTAAGTTGGTTAGCAGAGAGGTGTGGCTGCTTAACCCAAGATTAAAATATTTCTATTAGATGAACCACAAGCTAAATAAAACCCGTTAAAAAGCCTAAATAGTCAGTAACACCCCTTAACATGATGTTTAAGACGGACAGCTGTTCGGTCACACAGTTTAAGCTGCTGAAAGGAAATAAACGCTTAGCCACACATCTGCTAAAGCACCATGTTTTGGTCGTAGAGAAGGGGATATTTTACTGCTTTCAGTGCAGCGCAGCCTCTTCTTTTGAGCCACAGTATATATTTTAGGTCCTCTAAGGTTTTCTGGACGTTTTAGTGCAGAAAGAAAACCGATAAACAAGCCGTGAAACGTCCTTACCTGCAGCTAGCTACTGCTAACTACGGACCCTCCGCTCCACAGCCCGGACCGTGACGTAGGCAACGACGCTTTTCAAGGCATGGCTAACAGAGCTCAGAGAGAAAGGATTGGGTTATGATAGAAAACACCCTGAATATTACCAAAATTATACACAATTGAATTTTGATAGAAAACACTCTAAACTACTTTATTGGTTGGAATACTTCTTTTTTTTTGGAATAAAACAACAATGTATTTGAACTCTATCTCCCACAGGCCCATGTATTTTCTTTTCATAAGGGAACATATTTTGATATTGCTATTTATTGATATTTATCAGGACTATGCAGTTCATAATCCTGATAAATATTCCCAATATTTGCTTTATTTTAAATGCACCCACTTGAAACAACATATTTTATATAAAAATATAATGTGCGATATTGCTTTTCTACTTTTCGACTCTGGTTTACTTATTTTTTTAAAACAATTATCTTACTTTTATTGTTATTCTATTATGCACTGGTGTTACGTTTATTACGTTGTTTTTGTTTGTCCTGCACCTGTTTATAACAGATATGATTCTTGCATGAATAGTTTGAAACAGTTGAATAAAGTCTGTCAGACAGACTTTTTACTCCTCACACGCCATAAATGAACAGAGAGTAACTAAACGCGTTCAGCCCTGATGAATAGTGACGGAGAGTCAATTTCAAAAGGATCAATTATTCGACTCCAAGATGTCTGGGGGTGGAGGTCGACTTTTGACCAATGACTCGAAACGCGTCGACTCTTCCACTCTGTCTACTTCGTATTTTTTAATTGTAGCTATTATATATAAATATAATGCTCAGATTTCATAGTGCAGCATCTCTTAAGCTGGACTGGAAAAGTCGAACAAGAAGGTGGCAAAAAAAAGCCAACTTCGGCCTCTTAAAAAGAGGAACAAGATAACATCCATTTTCAAATAATTCTGACCACAGTAATGATTCTGTTAGTACATCACTCCGAGTTCCCCCTCATTACATGAAATAAGTAAAATTTTCACCATATCTCTGTAATCTGTAGCCACTCAAAAACTTTTAGGACGGTTTAGGCCCAATCCCATTTGACCCCTTGCCCCACCACTTAGCCCTTAGCCCTCTGTTTTGCACGTTCACGTCTAGGGTTAAGGTGTCCCAATTCTTGTTGAGATAGAGGGGTAGGGTGAAGTGTTAGGGCCACATGGCCCTCCAAACGGAGGTTTTTTCAGACACTCCAAATGAAGTGATATGAGTAAACAAGAAAAACTGACAAGATGTCTGTGCGAGCGACCAAAGAAAGCCACAAATTTAAGCATTTTCTTCGTTAAAAAGTTACCAAAATTATTGTATTATCTTAGTTAAAGTTGTTTCAATGTATTATGGTCCTTTTCTTCATAACAAGCATAAATAAATAAATAAAGTATGCTAATGTCTTAGTAGCTGGCTAGGGTTAGCTAATCTTCCCATTCCACCTTAAATAGTCCAGCAGTATAGATGCCTGAAGCGCCAGAATGTAACTGCTGCACCATTTAAGGTGGAATGGGAAATTTCAATCAAGAAGCTGGTGAATATCTGACTTCAGCTTCATATCACTGAAGAATTAGGGGTGGGCGATAATAAATAATTGCCCCCTCTTTGAAGGCGTATGATGCCCTAAATATAACTAAAGCCCTGAACTTTACCCTCCTCTGCTGTCACTGCAGACTGGCAGGGTCGCCTACAGAGCAGCGCTAGTAGCTGTTAATGAAGCAATGTTGTTGTTTTTTTTTTTAATTTGAGGTTTGTCCCATCTCGTAGGGCAAGATTTCAACCACTACCCATTGTAACTCAGTTCCAAGGGGTTAGGGTGACACTCGAAAACAAGGGGTAGGGATAAAAAGAAGAAATGGGATTGGGCCTTAGTCTCTGTTGTATCTTTTTAAAACCGACTCTGGAGCTTTCTTGGTTAAAATTAAGTGGAGTCGACTCCCTCGATTCCTTTGGCAAGAGCCGAGAGTCGGAATCGACTCAGTAACACGCTGACTCGTTGCCAGGCAACGCTATATTCAAGTTAATACAACGATGACGGCTGGCTAGCATGCTGAAGTAGGCAGTTTGTCCAGCTAGCTGTGCTTAAAGTGAGTATTTTTAAACGACAGAACAACAAGACAACGCACTTCACCTAAGGAATGAGTATGTATAAACCATAAAAGGCAGTTTTATGGTGTAAACAAACACCAAAGAAATGTAATTTACACCGGCTTTCCGTTGAACGACAGCGTTAATTATTTAGCAGCTACGCTGACTCAACGGTAGTTGGCGCTTAGCTAACGCTACCAAATGCTGTTTTCTCGCTGGCCAAACTGTACGCTGCTGTGTGGTAGCTTAACCTTTTTGGAGCAAATAAAAGCTATAAATACACATGTCTACACTAAATTTAGATTTAATTGTGTTTAATGTATTATTTTGGCGTCTTTAACTAAATAATTAAGTCGATATTCCGTACACTTGCAAACATTTCTGTCTGTGTAATAAAAAACACTTTCTTGACATTTGTCAAAGATGCATCTGAAACATTATCATATATCCCTTTTCCATCAAATCGGTTGGAAAGACCATCTAACCAGGGTTTGGACATCAAATCTGTGCAGATTTCTTATTTCTTTAAAAGTATTGGTCCAAATGTGACCAATCAAAGTGCATATTGATTGCTAGGCGGATTTTGCAGAGTCCAACCAATCATTAAATCGTGTGTGACTTCGGGTATTTCCGCAATAACTACTAAAACGCGAAAAATGCCGAAATACTGTACGGAATACAGCACTCTTATGTTACATCCTTGCTGAGCTCAAACTGTCCCAATGTTTGTAAGTTTGCTGTACGTGGATTTCAGTAATTATATTGTCTTTAGATTCATTATTAAGTAACTAAACTGAAATAGAAAGAAATGTGATTTATACAGGAGTGGACAAAGTACAGGACATCTGTAGTTGAGTAAAGATTGATGTACTCTTTGTAAAATACTACTTGTAATACTATCTCTATTTCTACTTAAAGTACACTCTTAAAATGATTCTTCAAAGGTTCTTTAGTAAAAACAAGGGTTCTATATAGAACCATGAACACTCAAAGAACCTTTACCATGATTAAAGGGTTCTTTGCATTGTGAAATGGTTCTTCAGATTGATGGAGTATATGCTGTGGATGGTTCTGTGTAGTACCTTTTAGAAAAGGGTGTTATATAGCACCATAAAGTGTTCTTCTATTGTTATGATTTCAGGCTTGTTACAATAGAAGAACCCTTTTTGGTGCTATATAGAACCCTTTTTAAAAAGGTTCCATATAGAAACATATACAGAACATACTCCATCAGTCTGAAGAACCATTTCACGATGCAAAGACCAATGCAAAGAACCATTTTCTCTACTAAAGAACCCTTGAAGCACCATTTTTGAGTGTGTATATAGAACCATTTCATGCTTAAGTGGTTCTTTGCATGGTGAAATGGTCCTTCAGATTGATGGAGAATGTGCTGTATATGATTCTATAGATCACCAAAAGGGTTCTTCTATTCTTACAAGCTTGACACTGTAACAGTAGCAGAACCCTTTTTGGTGAAAAGAGAAACAGAATGTTTTTCACACAGGCCCCCTTAATAGAACCTGCTCATCCAAGATCTACTTATATATGGAAGTACATTTTTTTTGTACTTTTATTCAAGCACATTTATAGATTGGATGCTTGTATTCAAGCAGTATTTTCCCAAAAGTGTATCTGCTTTTACTTAAGTACAGAAGTATTGTACTTCGTCCACCCCTGAATTTATAAATACGTAAAAGAAATTCATCCTCAAAATAAGCTAGTTTTGCCCACTTCTAACTATTTTCTGTGTTTTTTGTGCTTTTGTCTTAGCATACTCACTATGAGCCACAATGGCAGAAAAGCATTATCAGACAAGCAGAGTGTCCTCAATGTCTTCAGCAACCACATGAAGGCCAAGGCCAAATCACACAGCGCAGGTGTTTCAGCCCCTTCCCACAGCTCAGTTTGCAGGAGCGAAAAGGCAGAGGAACGTTGCAGCCCTCCTCCAAAGATGAAACGCCTCAAAACAAGAAAAGAAAGGAATCAGATCCGCAGACAGCACATCGGCAGTGTTCACCGAAGCTACCAACACGGTAATAGAGGAAGCAGAGAGAAAGCACACAGTTGTAATTCTCACGATTGCCACACCAGTCATCCACTCAAGCCTTTTAGAAACGAAAAGGTGGTTCCCAAACCATTTACTCCACGTAGGCCGAGTATCATCACGGAAGGTCGCCTTACGTCTTTCAGAGGCCTCTTCAGCCATCAAGTGAGATCTGTAGATATTGAGAGACTAGTAAAGGAGCCGAAAAGACAGGGAGAAGAACAACCGACAAGGAATTCCCCTTCCATCCCTTCACCCTCAGCTTTGAAATGTAGGTCAGAATCTGGTGAGCGTTTCACTTCCAGTTGTGTACAGGACAGCCAGAGGTCAAAGAGGTCTAGAAATGAAGTGACATCAAAACAGATGCACAATATAGAAGGCACACACTTTTCGGCATTGGATGAGATGCATAATTCTGCACAAACCTGCCATCAAACTGTAGATGACCTTGTTCAATCAGGAAGCCCATGTACTAAGAGAACTGCTAGACCTGTAGTGTTGTCTTCATCAGAGAGTGAACTTTTTCCAGCCTTCTCAACTCCTGCTAAAGCCAACCCGAATGACTCTAATGGCACTCCAAAAGATCAAGAGCAAACAAACAGCTGTTCACCTGCCATGGATATGCAGCTGGACGACACTCCTGTGAGGTCAGCACACTTTAATATGGAAGCCCCACCATCAGACTCTGGTCCTGCAACTGGCAATGCCTCCCTGCCTGCTCTGGACAGAGAGAGAAGTGCATCAGCAGATAGGGTTCAGGCAATGGGCAGGCTGGCAGCTCGTCTTTGCCAGACTCTGGATATTTCTCCAGTGCGACGCTGCTGCCCCCTGCTGACGGAATGCAGAGAGGTTCTCCTGCAGGCCATGCAAGAGAGGCACAGCTTCAGGCTGCCTAAGCTACTCTCAAAGCTCAATCCAGAGCTTC